GTTGTGAACCTATTTTACAAAATTACTCAATGAATAGACACACTATTCGGGAGACAATTGTCGTCAATCAAGTTGTTATAAATATTATGCATTTTTTTCATTACACTGTGTTTTACTACCCGTTTTTATTCAGCTATTATTTATAGGCAAACTATTTATTAAAATCAATTAGGAAAATTACATTTGCTATTTTTGCTATTTTGATATAATAGTTATAAATTCATTCAGTTTATCGCAGATATCATGTGATTTATTTTATTCATACAATTATTTCTGTTTCTTAAATACCATAACTCATATTCATAAATGAATTTACATTTAAATTGTAACCATTTATCAGTTGTGAATATGTGTGGCAAATATGTCCAGTGAAATTACTGTACTGTATAATATTTTAAGGGAGATAACATTTATTTTTAACAGTGTTTGTTTTATGTTATTTTAGTTTAATTAACAATGTTTTGTAATTAATAAAATTTATGATTTATTAATACAATTATAATTAAGATTTACTGCAATTATCACTTAGAATTATTAGTAATAAATGTTGAAATTATATATATTTTTAATTATAATTTTTATTTAATTTTAAGTTATTATTATAAATGTAACAATTAATATTACAATAATAGCCACAACGATGGCCAGACATGTAATTCGGTATTTATATGCATTTCCCTTATGTTTGCGAGTGGTCTCTATCTCCAAGTTAGCCTTTTCTATATATTCTTTGGCTCTAATCACCTGTTCCTCGATTCTGTCCATTATTTCGCCCTTTTATTTGTAAATAAAATTTTTTTAAATGTGTTAATTAGGAGAGAGCAGAAAGTACCTGGTCAGTTACTAGTAGTTCAACACTACTAAATAAATCGTATATTTCTTTAATACTCTTCTCGAGTCTTATGATATCCCGATGTCGGACCTCAATATCCCAAAGCATTTGTTTGGCCTGTTGTTTGTCTGATAGGAATCCCTCGACAAAAACGTGTAAATCACCACTATTTAGCATTTCATCTAGCTCAATATCGGTCACCGACCGATTAGTTATAGCATACTGTTGTTTTATTAGGCCTTTATATTTCATATTATAACTGTCCTGGATGGTATTGTGGTCACTCATACACTGGACATACATGCGGGACAGCATGTTATGTTGTGTTTTTCGTATTCGTATGTCGGCGCTCATCCACGACAATGACTTCCCCTCTAAAACCTCTGTATTTCTCGCAATATCTGGAATATACATTTAATTTACAAATAATTACTATTTAATCATTTATTTGAGTTAATTTTCGCTTGATAATTAAGAATATTTTCTAAAACTTATACAAAAACTAAATACCTTTCAGCTTTTGATTGACATTTATCGCAGTCCTTGTAATGTCTGCCATTAGATTCTCTAAATCTTGTCTGAGATCTGTATCCATAAGAAATGACAGTATATTTGAAAATACCAATTCATATCATTAGACATACCATCGCAGTTTTGTCGTGAATTTAATATCTTTCCATGAATTGTGGCCACTTTTTTGACAATTGATTCAATGGACTCAATATCACCAATAATTATGTCCACTTCCTGCTGAAACTCTTTCAATGGGTTATTACTGGAGATATCATCCACTGAAGTGACCTCTGTTTGTCTGCCATCGGCGGCTATTATAGCTATTAATTCCGGAAGTCTATCTTTAACCACCATTTTTGCAATATTTTATATCACTTTTAATGACTTTTACAAACTATAGCCAATTTTGTAACTCAATTGTAAAAGTTATAAAAATTATTATTTCCATTTCTATTATCACATTCTTTTGTTAATATCATTAATACTGTAATATGAGTGAATGTGTGAGTGAGTGAGTGAGAGAGAGAGAGAGAGA